TAGGATGACCTTGGTTTTCGGGGAAAAATCCTGTATGTCCCATAAAAATTTTCGTAGCGAGCAGAAATTTTTCCGAAACTTTCCGGCCAGTTTTACGGTACCTCCAGTACTTTTTCCCGAAAAAGCAAGGTCACCCCACAAATGAAAACATGAAACTTCCATAATTTTTCGAGTATTATTCTCCATGGGTGATAAAAATGATAAAAAATTAAAAAAACAATGAAAAAAAATATAAGAACAAAAGTATCTGATGTGAATAAACCATTGGAGCGAGAAAAGCTGTGAATAGAGTGGGCGTCATAAAATCTAATTTAAATGAAAGTTGGCCTCAAGTTTGCTGGGAGTGGGTGCCATGGAAAATGTTACTTATCCATTCCATGGTTTAAAGTGGGCACCAGCTAGGGGGTGGTTTAGGGGGATGGTTTGAGGGTGCAAAGTGGCTGCGGTAGCTATAAACGGGAGAAATTTCGTCCGAACCTTCTGATATTCCACACGAATATAGGGTGAACCATGTCATTTGATTCATCCCTCCTCCTGCCTACCCCTGAACCACCCATTCCACCTCCACTACCCACCCCCTTGACGATTTCTCTTCGCCTCTTCACGTTGCTCTCGTTTATCAAGCCCACCTCCTCTCCAACCACCCCCCCAACCATCTCCACCACTTCTCCGCTTAATTGAAGTGATTTTACGCCCCACGAGGTACCACCGGTATAATCCTACCCACGTGAGGACTTGAAGAAGGCGATTTACAGCCAAAACCGGGAAAAGCCCCAGGTATATCTCTTGAATCCTGACATTCAGCACGATGATGTTAAACATTTTCCATGGATAATCCTCAGCTCGGTGGGGGAGAGGGGTATTGCAGTTTAATTAATTAATTGGGCGTTTTGTTCTTGGAATTTCGTCGGATGCGGCTGAGGATTTGAGGGGATGACGGAATGCCGGGGGATTTATTTTTGTTCTTCGGGGTTGAATCATCTTCACTCACGACTCCCTGGAATTTCACCAGAAAATGTTATTCATCTGGTGATTAAGATTGATTGAAGCTGTGACTGTAAAAATTATTGTAAATGTTGTTTAATTTCAGAGACTTTTCATTGAGTTGATTAATTCCGTACCGTAATTTTCATTTGTGGTTTCGTTATTTTTTATATGGAAATAAAATTTTATTCATAAGCAGTGCATGTTTATCTGGGTGTACCTCGATTCAGAGAAAAAGTAATAACTCATTCGTTCCTCATTTCGTTTAATAAAATCCCATCCCTTTTTTTTAATATCCGAAATGAAGTCTCATTAAGACCCCCGTTTGACTTATTGAATGAAACGAGCGAGAATGTTCCTTTGATTGCACCGGATAAACCCGTGTAATTAAAATTCCCCCCTTTATCCACCCCTTCAGAATAGTGACTAGAGAAATCCATGAAAAAATTTACAACTCCGTACAAATTTCTTGGTATTTCACGTGAATAGATCATGATGTGGTAAAGCCTCCGGTGTTTTTCGAATAAAAAAAGTTTCACGTGCGAGTGAAAAGAAATTGAATGGGAATGTTTTTCAAACTCTCAGTTAAATCGCTTCCGGATGTACATCCACACGTACAGATACTGCAATACACTTTAGGGGTTGAAGTGCAGCCTTTTTCCATCCCCCGGAGGGCACAGTTGAGTTTTTCAAGTACTCTTTTGACACTCACACCGGAGTAGGGGGTTTAAGGGGGATACAACCCCCACGGCATTCAGTGAGGGGTATACCTTTCAAATGCCGTGAATTTACTCGTCGATTCGCGTTGTTTGTGACACACCAGGAGAATCCAAAGTCCATTGGGTGAGAATAAACGTTACGGAGACTCCGATAAAAATTTATTTTGCAGAATCAAACGTGGTGGAGGGGAATATTGTTATCGATTTTATTTTTTTTTTATCTCTTTCTGGTGCTAAAATTGGGGTTAAATTGTTTTGGGGTGTACGAAGCCCCGGAGTTTATGGGTAAATCGTTTGATGAATTTCAAACTTTATAGAAAAATTTTATCGAATTTTCTTGTTGTTTAAA